TTTTCAGAGTTCCGTAGTACCCCGAACAAGGACCTTCTAATCCCTAAACCCCTAAACCCTAAACCCCTAAACCCTAAACCCAAACCTTATTAGGGCCCCAGACCCCTCAAGGACCCAACAATAAGGACCCTGGAAGCCTAGGGTCAATCAAGGGATACGGGATCCTGAAAAGGATCTATAAGGGCTCGATGAGGGGATGAAGGAGCATACCTAAATCCTAAACCATGTGATCCCTTTGAGGAACCTTTATATAGTACCCTTTTAAAGGAACCCGTAACCTAAATCCTAGATCCCTAAATCATGCTCGGGATCCTACCATAGCTTAAGACGTATTCCTTAAGCAAAGGATAAATTGGAGAGGTCTGGGAATCCTAAACCCAAAGAGATCCCAATACCCCTTAATTAAGGCATATGCCTTAAGTCAGTCTAGGGTTTAGGGTGGAGGGATTAGAGATTAGGGTTTAGGGTGTAGGGTTTAGGGATTAGGGTTTGGGGATTCCCTTATTTAACGGATATTGGGATCTCTGAGAACCCTCACCCATTTTGGACCGAGAGGCGCTCAGAGCGGATGGAACGGGCATCTAACCCCGCAACCTTGTGCCTAATCCCCAATCCCTAAACCCTAAACCTTAAACCCTAAACCGCCTAAACCCTTAAATACCTAAACCCTAAAACGCCTAAAACCTCAAAACCTAAACCGCCTAAACCCTCAAAACCTAAACCCTAAACCGCCTAAACCCTCAAAACCTAAACCCTAAACCGCCCAAACCCTCAAAACCTAGACCCTAAACCGCCTAAACCCTCAAAACCTAAACCCTAGACCTTTTGGACAAGACCAAGGTCCTCTGCACCGCCTCGACCTCAGGGCCTAGCTCGGATTCTCAGTGCCTCAACTTGCCAATGTAAGGGCCTGAATAATTAGAATAGGGTTTTTGGTAGGGTTCCGTTAAAGGGCTCCTTAAAGGGTTCTATAAGGGCTACAAAAAGGGTGGCTTTAATACTAAGGCCCGTATAATTAAAGGTACATTCCTGAATCAAGGGGTATGGGGGCTCTTTGGGCATCGGGGGTTTCAGGTTCCAAGGGCTTGTGGGGTTTCTAAAGGCTCTAATTTAATGCAGTGGCCTTAATGATTCGAATAGGGTGTTGGGGGTATATTATACTACATTTATATAGTAGGGAACCCCTCAAAAGAGACTAGGGTTTTTGGGGTAGATTATACTACAGTTATAATGGGGAACCACCGAAAGAAGAGTATGGGTAATTCTTGAGGCAAGTTAGAATATAGGGAACCCTGAAAAGAGTGTGGGTAATTCTTAAGGCCTCTACTTGCTATGCTTCATCCGGGTTTCAGGTTTTAGGCAGGGCTCGGGCTGTAGGGTTCAAGGTTCAGGGCTCAAGGTGGGGGGGGGGGGGTGTAGTGTAGGGTTTAGGGTTTAGGGCTTGGGGCTGAGGGTTTAGGGTTCAGGGTTCAGGGTTTAGGGTTCAGGGTTTAGGGTTTAGGGTTTGGGTTTGGGGTTTAGAGGGCTGAGCCCCAGCAGCCGCAAATAGAAAAACAAACAAAGAAAGTCCGGGCCAGGCGCTCGTCGAGGATCGGCTGGGTCGGGTTGGAGACCGTCATGGCAACGATGCCCGACTCCGTGGCAACCTCAGACCCAGAGAACCCAAGACCCCTTGATTAAGGAATATACCTGAAACTGTAGTATTATCCCCTTAATTCAGGAGTATACCTTAAATCATAATATTAAGGCCCCTATAATTCAAGGTATATTGCTTAATTAAGGGGTATTGGGCTCTCTGGGGACAGTTTTAGTGTTTAGGGTGTGGGGGATTCCCTCACGGGGTCCTCTTAAGGGTCTAATAGGGTTTTCATAGGGTTGACTCCATTGCCACCTGGGGCAGTTACTTCGGGGTTTGAGGGGGTTAGGGGTTTAAGGTTTGAGGGTTTAGTTTAAGGGTTTGGGGTTTAGGGTGAAGGGTTTGGGGTACTTTTGTTGAAGAAGGGTTTTGGGTTTAGGGTGTTGGGCACCTGGAACAAATACTTCGGGGTTTGAAGGGCTTGGGAAGGTTGAGAATCTCGGGTTGAAGGCTTAAAATTTGCGTAAAATTTAGGGTTGAGGGTTTAGGGTTCAGGGTTTACTTTTGAGGGGCCAAGTCTCTCTGCGTGCACTGGCGAAACTTTGAAGCCAAGCTACACCCCGAATCACCTATCAAAATCCGGAGCCCCAACCCCCAAACCCGGAAACCTTTCCCAAAACCCAAAACCCCAAGACACTTAAATCCAAACTCTTACTTAACTCCAAGACTCCAAGACACAAACCCGCCAAGCCAATAGCAACGAAACTGCAAACCCAACTCTTGGAAGCAACGCCGTAAGCTTGCATAGGACAGAACCGAAGAAACTCAAACCCCACCTAAATCTTAGACCCTAAACCCTAAACCTTAAAACCCTAAACCCTAAACCCTAAACCTTAAAACCCTGAACCTTAAAACCCTAAACCCTAAACCTTAAAACCCGACACCCTAAACCCTAAACCCTAAACCCTCACACTTAAAACCCTAAACCCGAAACCCTAAACTCTAAACCCTCACACTTAAAACCCTAAACCCTAGACCCTAATCCCTACACCTCTTCACACAGAAAAAAACCTCCGAAAGAGCCCTGGGCCAGGGGCATCCTGCAGTGAGAACTCAGGCTCCCAGTGCCTTCGGCAAGTCTTAGAGGGGGCTTTGGGGTGTGAAGGGTTTAGGGTTTGGGGGTTTAGGGTTTAGGGTTTAGGGTTTAGGGTTTGGGGGTGTAGTTACAAGTGTACGGGGTTTGGGGGCTTGGGGATTTGAAGGGTTTTGGGTTTGAAGGGTTTTGGGGGGTTTGGGGGCTTTGGGGGTTGAAGGGTTTAGGGTCTGGGGGTTTAGTTACAAGTGTACGGGGTTTGGGGCTGTGAAGGGTTTGGGGTGTGAATGGTTTTGGGTTTGGGGGTTTGGGGTTTAGGGTTTAGGGTTTTAGGGGTTTGGGGGTTGAAGGGTTTAGGGTTTGGGGGTCTAGTTTGAAGGGTTTGGGGTGTGAAGGGTTTAGGATTTGGGGGTCTAGTTTGAAGGGTTTAGGGTTTAGGGTTTTAGGGGTTTGGGGGTGTGAAGGGTTTTGGGTTTGGGGGTCTAATTTGAAGGGTTTAGGGTTTAGGGTGAAGGGTTTGGGGTTTAGGGTTTGGGGCTTGAAGGGTTTAGGGTTTGGGGGTGTAGCTTGAAGGGTTTAGGGTTTGGGGGTGTAGGGGGTTTGTTGGGTTTGAAGGGTTGAAGGTTTGGGGGTGTGGGAGGTGTGAAGGGTTTAGGGTTTGGGGGTTTAGTTTGAAGGGTTTAGGGTGTGGAGGTTTAGGGCTTAGGGTTTGAAGGGTTTGGGGTTTAGCGGTTTAGGGGTTTAGGGTTGAGGGTTTCGGGGGCTTGGGGGTTAAGGGTTGAAGGGTTTAAGGGTTTGGGGCTTATGGGTTTATAAGTCAAGGAGCGTTCTGCTTCTGAGGGGTTCTAAATGGAGATTTTGCAAGGCAAAATCACTATATAGAGCTGTCGTGGGGTCTAAGTAGCATTTGTTCAAGGGTCAGGACTCCATCGGGTTTTGAAGGATTGTAATCATTCTTGTAAGGGCTCTACATGAGTATGTTTCCAACCTCTCTGGGACATGGCTTTGTTGAGGGTTTCACTGTTCTACGAGGCTTCCGAAAGGCTTTGGTCTTTGGGGGTTCTGGTTCGGTTTAGGGTTTAGGGTTTAGGGTTTAGGGTTTAGGGTTTAGGGCTCAAGGATGTTCCAGGTGTTTAAGGGCTTCAGGTTTGGGTGGGGCTTACGGCCGACACCGTCGGATAAGTGACCTAAACGCAGAGGGTCACAACGCGACCATGCGTCCACCACCTATACTTATCAACGCAAGTAAGGTCCGCATAACAATGCTGATTACTACACATGAAACCTTGCTGCACAAGAATAAGTACACCCAGCAATCCCCATAGACAAGGAATACGCAACAACAGACAAGGACGAATTAAACAAATTAAACACACGAACAGTAAACCCATCCTCAAGTCCAATACATTATGAAGCTTCAAGCCTTCACTTCATTAACCCAAAAGTCCTAATCCCCTAAACCATAGCTCTAGGCTATACATATGTATATATATATATATATAGGTACACACACCGACCGGTATGCACAATGTGTGTACTTCTAACATTGCCTCCTTAGTGATTTTATAATTGGATATTCATGTCTCAGGCCGATACCCTAAACCCTAAATCCTAAACCCTAAACCCTAAACCCTAAACCCTAAACCCTAAACCCTGAACCCCGAGGTCGAGACTTGCCCCCCTTGATGACACCGGAGCTCTGGAGGTTACGGATAAAAACGTCCGTGCCCACAGAAGCGCCTAGGCATGTAGAGTTTTGGGGTATATGGGTCTTCCATTTCGTGTGCGGTTTTAGGGTTGGGGATTGGGGTTTAGGGCTGCGGTGCGCTGTTACTAGTCAACGGCCATTGAACTAACGCAGACCTCCACAACCCAAAGGACCATGCATCCCTAAACCGTATAGACTCAAGGAACCATTAAGATCCAATAAGCAAGGAATATGCCTTATTCCGAAAACCCATCTACAACTACTTCGTGTTTTCGCTACCTTCTCAAAGCAACAAGGTCAAGCGCAACTGGCGATCCGCGTCCATCAGTTTCCTCCAAATCGCGGGCATCACGCTTCGCCGGGTGGTTGTCAGCAGCAACGGGTTCATCGAGGTGCTGCGATGCAGCGCCTCATACATAAATAAATCCATGAAAAGTTTCTGATTACGGTTGTATATACATATATACATATACACATGTACATATACATATCTCCATATATGCATACATACATGGTACATATATACATATACCTTTATATATATATATATGTATGTATGTATGTAGGCATGTAGTTAAATAATACGGTCCTCCGAAACACTGCGCTGCTTAGCCAGCTGAAGCAGCAGGGTGCTCGAAACACAGCTTATCCAAGTGAAGCAGGCATGGCGCCTGAAATCAACTCTGCAGACCCAAACAGCCATAATCCTTGAGCCAGCAAGCCTCAAGCTTTTCGACATCGATCACAAAATAAACCCAAAGGGTTGAACAAGTTCTTGCGCATGGCATAGAAGACCCAGAGGCCGACCCCTTTTTTGAAAAACAACCACCACTAACGACCTATCGTCTGCATTCGAAAAAGGCGCCGCTTTCGACGAGCTCGGTGCAGTAGTCCTGTTCAAGGCTTCTTTGGGACTTCGGTGGGTGTGGCATATTCAAGGCTGTATCATGGTATGATACGGCTGAATACATACGGCCAAAAGAGGGTTAACCTGCTGACTCTTGCAAGAATTGAAAGACATTGAAAGACTCAAAGGATCTGGCGGTTTAAGGCTGCGGGTTCTCAAGACGTTAGGTTTTGGGCTTTGGGTTCAAGGGCTCTGCTTGCGCACAGCATGCTGCCTCTGACACGGAGCTTAACATCAGATAGGCTGCTAAGCCCTAAGTTGGTAGCAGCAAGCACTTATACGTTGGACACTGTTTTGCAAGATACCATAATTATCCGGTAAAACACAAAACAAAACAATACTGTACACAACAACTGTATAGTAGAGGTCTTTGGCGCAGTCAGCGCCGAGCGACCAAAATCACCCTTTCCGAGCTGATATACGAACTTTGGCGCAGGACACAACCTCTACCAAGCTTGAGCCCGAACTCCTTGAGGGTGCACGTAACCATACAGCGTACGCAATGGCCCAAAGACGTAATCTATCCGAGGAAACGTTTCATGGCCTTCCCTTAGCTCCTTTCCTGACTGAGTGTTCGAGAATCGGGATGCAATTTGAACTGCCAGGCAAGGAAAGCGCAGCAATATATCCCATTTTCAAAACATATAGAACGTATTCCGCATTCGTGTTGGGCATATTGCAGCAAAGGCCAATTACAAGGACTATAAGGAGGGTGAGAACTGCGAATCATTCCAAACTCTTCTAAGCCAGTATAAAGCGCCATACAAAACCTTTCATGGAACCGGTACCGACGGGATACCACTGCTCTAATAATTGCTCCTGCAGCATCTTCCTCACCTTGTGCACCCGCAAAGCGGAATCGTAGGCCTCTACCAGGCGCTGCTTTAGGATTTAGGGTTTTCGGTGCGGGGTTTAGGGTTTAATTTCGATTTCTTGGGATTTCTGAGGGTATGCATACTTGGGATGTTTGGGCTTTTGTTACCGTTAGGTCAGGACTGAAAGTTCTTGGGCCCACCGACTGAAGTCTGAAGGCAACTCATGATCCTCAGACGCTCGAGACCTAAACCTAAATCCCAATCTGGTACACAGAGAGGGTAAGAGGAATTCTGACATGTGTTCTAGGTGCAGCCTATGGGTCATTCTATCTCTATCTTTCTTTCGGATATGTTCGGATGTGTTTTGCTTGTTGTTGCCTCATTATGCTTGTCTTCTGTGTCAGCGCTTGTGCTTGCTCGAGCGTGCTTCGCGTCTTCTTTTATTTCACTCGTTTGGCGCTCTGGCATTCAACTGACTTGCCTTTCTGAATGTCTTCCTGACTATCTGCTTTTTCATCTGTCAGTCTTCTTGTTCTTGTTAGTGTTATTGATCTTGTTGTTGTTGCTGCCGTTGCCATTGCCTCTGCTGTGGTTGGGGTTGTTGTTGTGGTGCTGCGACACCCTCAACCGTATGGTTCTGATAACCATTTGAGAACCTCGGCTTTTTGCACTCTCGCCACACGTATACCGCAAAGCCCAAGAGCAACACAGTAAGTTTACACCAAATCATTAGCACAGCCGTTCAGGCACATCGTCACAGAATTGCACACATGCCTGCCACATCATAACTGCACACATGCCAGTTACACGATAAGCACACCCATTCACGCGCATCGTCACGGGACTGCACACGTGCACGTTCCTTTGCCATTGGTGTTGTCGTTATTGCTGTTGCCGTTGTTCTTTTGCCGCTGCCGTTGTCGATGCTATCGTCTTGGTCATCGTAGACGTCGTTGTGGTCATGGTGGTGGTCGCGGCTGTGGTGCAGGCGGCGGCGGCGGCGGTGGTGGTGGTGGTGGTTGGTGGTGGTGGATTTTTGACTCTGGGCTTTAGATACCGGATTTTAGATTTTGGGCTTTGGATTTTGGATTTTGGGTTTTGGATTTTGGGTTTTGGGTTTGGGGCTTTGGAACCTACAGGGCTTGGGCGGCAGTGTTGGGGTCTGACAAAACCCTAAACCCTAAACCCTAAACCCCTAAGCCCTAAACCCCTAAACCCTAAACCCCTAAACCCTAAACCCCTAAACCCTAAAGGATCATGGGACTTAGTAGCTAGGGTTATAACTAAGGTAACTATGCTTATAACCCCAATTATAGGGGACTTATAACCCCAATTAGGGTACTTAGAACCCCAATTAGGGGACGTATAACCTTACTTACTAAGTCCCATGATCCTCCAAGTACCCTCCGCAGTGATGTGCTTAAGCAGCTCCCGATCGTCGCAGGCCGCTTCGCGAGCAGGTCGCGCTCGCGGCCAAGACTTTAAGGATTAGGTATTAAATAGGGTTTAAGGGTTTAGGGTTTAAGGGTTTAGGGGTTTAGGGCTTTAGGGTTTAATTGGGATTTCAGGGTTTCGGGCTTAGGGATTCGGGGTTTGGGGTTGAGGTTTTTAGTGTATAGGGGCCAGACTCCACAACCCTAAACCCTATGCCCGACCCTAAGTCCAAACCCGAACAATTCGAACAACGCCATGAACAACTTGTACATAGCAATAATTAGGGTTTAGGGTTTAGGGGTTTAGGGTTTAGGGGATTTAGGGTTTGAGGTTTAGAGGCCTAGGGTTTAGAGGTTTAGGATACCAAGATACCATGAAGCCATGTGTAAGTCCTTGTAGCCGTGAAATACACAAGACCACACGAAGCCTTATGTAACGAACCCTTGTACCTGAAACCGACAGTTCCATCGCCTCCGCCAGAGGGCCCGCACTGGCCTTGCAGTCGAAAGCACTACCCATAGGCCCCATAGTAGTTCCTTTTTGGGATTGCTTAATAGGATCCTAAATACGAACCACAAAAAAGGAACTATTATGGGGCCTATGGGTAACAACTATTAGGCTTGGGGGTTTTGTGCTTAGGGTAGGAAAGGAGAACTGGGAAAACAGGCACTGCCGGCCAGCCGGGTTAGCGTTTTTCGGGTTTGGGGATTTCAAGGCTGACGGTTGAGCTTTACGGTTCAGTGTGCTAGGCTTTCAAGTCTCAAGTAGGGCTTAGGGCTATGGTTTACGCAGGGCGTTCGAGTTTTGGGGCTGGAGCCCTCTAGGCCTGGAGTCGCGATCGTCGTCAACACCAAGCAGCATGAACAACATCATCGTCTCTTCCACTCAACTGTTTAGTCGGGTAGTTACACTATCAACGCTGGAAATTCTGACGGAACAGGCCGCACCTGCACCCACCGCCACCACAGCCACCATCACCAACCCCAACCCCAACCGCAACCCCAACGCAACATCAACCCCACCACCACCGTCGCCGCCACCACCCCAATCGACACCACCAGCACCACCACCACCACCACCGCCGCCACCACCACCACCACCACCACCACCACCACCACCACAAGCATCAGCAGCGCCCCCACCGGCGCCACCACGCCGCCGCCAGAGCCACTGCTACCACCACCACCACCGCCACCACCACCACCACCACCACCACCACCACCACCACCACCACAAGCATCAGCAGCAGCACCACCAACAGCAACCGGAATCTTCAGGCTTTTGACAGTTGCAGCAGCGAATGCCACTGATGTTGATATCAATCACAAGACTGGCATAAGATAACGCCCTGAACCTCGAAACCAACGAAACGGCCAGAACAAACTCGAACTTCTGCACCCCTGTGTACCATCCGACTTGCGCACTTACCCTAAACCCCAAACCCCTAAACCCCTACACCCCTAGAGCCTAAACCCCAAATCCCGACACCACTAAACCCTAGACCCCAAACCCCTTCACCCCTAAACCCGCAGTCCTAATTGCCGAGTTACACCCTGCAACCCCAGAGGCCATAAAGCCCAGAGCAAGAAACCCCAAAACCCGAAGCCCTGTTCCCCAAAGGGTCCGAGTGACAGTATAGTGCGTAGGGTTCAGGGTTACAGTATAATAGTATAGACTTTGGGGGGGCCCAGTATCTGCAAAGAGCCTACCCAGAGAACCCAATACCCCTTATTTGAGGAATATACCTTAAATCATGCTGTTGTATTAAGGCCCCTATAATTTAGAGTATGTTCCTTAATTAAGAGGTAACCCAACGGGTTCTCTGGGTACCAAGACCCTAGTAGAATCATACTTGGATCTTTTAGAAGTTCAACCCATGACATGATAAGAGCCTCCCTACGCGCCAAAGCCTGGGCTTTGGGTTTAGGGGTTTTGGAGTTTAGGGGTTAGAATTTAGGGTTTAGGACCGGTTTAGGATATAGGGTTTAGGGTTTAGGGTTTAGGATATAGGGTTTAGGGGTTAGGGCTTCCTTTACCAAAAGCTCACAAGACCCGAAACAGTCAAAGCTTCAAGCCTCTGCTTAAAGCACTGAAGTGGCCTGGACCCCAAACCCCAGACTAAAGGTCCCTGAACCCTAAACCCTAAACTCTGAACCCTAAACCCTAAACCCTAAACCCTAAACCCTGAACCCTAAACCCTGAAGCCTGCAAAAATTCGGCGGACAGGTTGTCGGAATTCGAACCGGAGAGGAGAACCACGAGCCCACTTGGAAGGGTTTGAGGGTTTAAGAAATAGGGCTTAAGGGTTTCAGGGGTTATGGTGTAAAGTGTAAAGGTTCAGGGTTTAGGGTTCAGGATTTAGGGTTTTTCGCTTTTAGGGCTATGGTTCAAAGGCTTGGGGTTCAGGGCTTAAGGAAACCAATGCTCACCGACCTCCATACTCGGCATGTCAGGCAGACGTCGGCCAAATCCTGCGGTGCAATGCACCAGGCGGGCTTTTTCAAAAGGGCAAAACTCAAGAATTCACCGGGATATGGTTCAGATCGTTTTGGGGCTCATGCCTTAGCGGCTGTCTAAGTAACATCAAGATTGAACTCAGACTGCATGGATACAAACACTGAGAATACCTGCCTGTGTTGTTCTGAGCTTGACTGGTCTCCCCGCCGAAGCCCGTACTTGGCTTTTCGCCAAACATGAGAACTCTACAAACTGAGACGTCATGAAGCCTTACCCCTAAACCCTAAACCCAAACCCTAAACCTAAGCCCAAAGCCCTGAGCCCTAAACCCTAAACTTAAACCCTAAACCCGGTCCCGCTGTAGCGCGTTTTTCTGCCACGAATTTTGTTGGCGCCCTCTAGGCCCTAGACTCTTTCGTGCGTTCATGGAGATTGTGTTGGTTTTGAAGGCTTAGGGCTTCCGGTGGGTTTAGGGTTTCTATACTGAACTTAGACCCCTAGCAAAAAATATAATTTTAGCTGCTTCTTAGGGTTTATAGTAGCCAAAGATTAAAAATTATTTCTAAGTACCCCTAAGGTTTAGTAACATGTAGGGTTCAGGGTTTACCTAGACCCCCCAACTACCCTCTATTATACCCCCAAATGCCTACTATTAGGGACCATAAGGGCTCTATTAAAGGGCCATTGGGGGGTTCAGGGTTTAGGGACTGTCTTGAGTTTTCCGTTTTGGTTCTTTGCGGTTTTGAGGGACTTGGGATTTCAAGCCTCGGGTTCAGAAGGCTTTCAGCACAGAGACATGCAGCTCAGAATGCTCCGAGCTGAAGATCCCACACTCTAAGTTTAGGGTCTAGGGTTTAAGCCTTCACCCTATGGGTCCATGTAATGTAGGGGCCTAAATAATTGCCTATATTTTTGGGTGGTTCCTTTTATGGTTGTAATATGATGTACCGCCAAAACCGTAATCTAATTGTTAAGACTAATTCCTCAAATAGTATGTGTGTGCTGTGAAGTAGGGAATAGACATTAAGGTATAGTGAGGGGGGGTTTAATATTTGACTTAAGGTAGATTCCTTTGAAAAGGGGTATTGGGAGTTGTGGGCTAATGCTCACTACTGAAACGTAGTTCCCTGTTCCTTGAGGGCCCCAGTGCTTGGATCCCTCTCACCACCGTCCCCACACAGGGGAGGGTTTAGGGTTTAGGGTTTAGAGTTTAGGGTTTAGGGCTACCGTTGTGGTTTATTGATCATGGTCTCCATTAATCCTTCAACTGACATCTGGGTAGTTATCTCGATAAGGGTCCCTCTTGGGTCCTTTTTATTACTTGTCCAGTATCCTAGCGAACTAAAGGTTGACCTAAAAGGCTTTATAGGGATTGTGGTCCCTCAAACGCTCAAAAGTTACTATGGGTGCCTACATAATTACGTATACTGTGTTGGGGGGGCTCCTTAATTACAGTTGTAAGTGTACTATACCCCAAACCGTGTTCTAATTATTAAGGCCCCTATATTTACCTACTCGACTACTAAGATAAGGAGCCCTCAGGAGTAGTATTGGTAAGCGTTCCTAAACCCTAAACCCTAAACCCAGCGTTCTGGATTTCTTGGGTCGGGTTTTGGGTCCAAGGCAGGACTAGGTTGGAGTTTGGGAGAAGCAGAATTAGAAGAAGGCGTTTTGAGGTTTTGGGTTTAGGGTTTAGAGTTCAGGGTTTAGGATTTAGGGGTGATATACCACAGGCAAACTGCTAGAGACTATAGGGGTGTCTAGCTACTAACTTTCCCGACTGATACCATGATTGCCAATAGCGCCGTCCCTGATAAAGCTGTAAGATGATATACCCCAGAAGCTATGTCCTAATGCAGGGGCCTTAAAATTAGAATAGGGTTTTGGGGGCTCCTTATTGCAATCATAGTATAATATACCCCCCCCCCCCCGCCCTCTTCTATTTATTAAGGCCCCTGTAATATATTATCGGGGCTTGGCCCTCAACCCTAAACCCTAAAACCCAACACATCCGTCCCTGCCACCCCGACGTTCTTTTATGGAGTCCCCTGCATAAGCCTCGTAGCAAGTAGACGTGCCGCTGATCTGGGGTCAGATCCTGCATGACTAGGAAAACGCGGTTTAGAGTTCAGGGTTTGGGGTTTGGGGTTTCGGGGAAAACAAATATCACATGTGCTAGTAAAGGCAGAAGCCAAAACCTCAAACTTCCCTATGGCCCTAAACCCTAAGCCTAAATCCCTAAAGCTTCTACCCTAACGCCGCAAAGTCCTGAATTATGAACCCCACTCAAATGCCGCTGAACTGGAAGGACCATCTGAAGCGCTGAGCCTTGCACCCTGAACTAAACGCCAACCTAGGAACTGGATGGCGAAACCAACCCTAAACCCAAAGCCCCTAAACCCTAAACCCCTAAATCCTAAACCCTGAACCATAAACCCTACCAGAAAACACTTCAGGATTCGAACAAAGAACCCGAACATAGGCCCGAGGTTTCTTAATCAGGTTCCTACGTTCCTTAAGGCTTAAAAGTAGGGCCCTATACCCTTATACGATGAATCCCTATATGGTATATGAACCTTAACATCCTTTTAGGGTTCATGTCGTCCTTAAGGTTAGAGCCCTACAAAGGGCCTCGTAGAAGCCTTTTGGATCCCTGAAAGGGAGCCCTAAAGACTCTAAACCCTAAACCCTAAACCAACCAACCAACCAACCTAAACCCAGAAAGGCCCTAGTAGAACCTAAACCCTAAACCCTAAACCCTAAACCCTAAACCCTAGTAGAAGCCTTTTGGATCCCTGAAAGAGAGCTCTAAAGGCCCAAGGTTTCTTAATCAGGTTCCTACAATTTTTGCTGGGCCCTATAAACCTAAAACGGGGTTCCGGGTGCAGGGGTTTAGGGTTAACGGGTTTAGGGTTTAGGGTTTAGGGTTTAGGGGTTAGGGTTTAGGGGTTTAGGGGTTTGCGGGTTCAGGGTTTAGGGGGTTGGGGTACCTGTCACAGTGGCGGGAACCACAGTCATCATGATGCTTAGGCTCAGATGGGTTCTTACCTATCCCAAAAGGTCCAAGTAACAGTATCGTATATACTTTTGGGGCCCAAATATCTACTAACAGCCTACGGTGTCCACACTGTACTATAACCATACCTGGACCCTTTGGGTATTACAGCTGCCCCACGGTTTAGGGTTAAGGGTTTAGGGTTTAGGGTTTAGGGTTTAGGGTGAGCCTTCTAGCATCATGTAACCGAAGCCTTTGACATCCGATTCTGCGCCCTCATGCCTCCTTGGGTTTAAACCCATATCCCAGAGAACCCAATACCCCTTACTTCAGGCATATACCTTAAACTATAGGGGCCTTAATTATATATTATGATTAAAGGTAAATCCCTTAATTAAGGGGTCTTGGGTTCTCTGGGATACGCACCCAGAAGCTCCGAACCCCCTCGATGAAGGAATAAACCAGAAATTTCACTCTAAACCCTCAGACCTTAAACCCTAAACCCTAAACCTTATAAGCCCTAATAAACCCCTAAATTTCTGAAACAAGCCTGACGATGGTGTGAAGTATAGTCGTTCATCAGGGGTTCGGGAGTCCCTATAGGCACCCCAAAAGCTCCAAGGAGGCCGGCTGGAACGATCGATTTGTGAATCTTGTTTAGAGTTTCGGGTTTAGCTGTTGAGGCGCCGAAGAAGGGAACTCGTGGTTTACGGTTGAGGGTTTAGGGTTGAGGGTTTAGGGTTGAGGGTTCAGGGTTTAGGCTGTGACCTGAAGCTGCTAGCTGAGCTGCTTAGGGGTTTATCACAACTTACCCCCAGGGTCCAAAGGACTCAATAATAAGATTTTTAGGTTTCGGACAGTACTTAGATAAGTTACTGTTTGGGAGAGTATATGATTATTGGGTACTTGAACCCTTGGGGTTACATACACGCTGCGCCAGCGATTTCCCAAAAGCTACCCTCAGTGAGGGGATACTGGAGTCTCTGGAAATCTGATGGGTAAGGTATGCTACCCTAAACCCTAAACCCCTAAACCCTAAACCCCCAAATCCCGAAACCCCTAAACCTCTAAACCCGAAACCCCCAAAACCCTAAAGCCTAAACCCCTAAATCCCTAAACCCCTAAACCCTAAACCCCTAAACCAGACAGGTCCGGTCTCCCTGTCAGCTTTGTTGAGGGCTTCCATGATCTCTTTCGCAGTCAATGTTGGCTGGCCGTTCTCACCATCGTTGGAAGGTCCACCTGCGATTTCGCTTGGGGCTAGCTAGCTTGGTGTTCAGGGTTCAGGGGTGTAGCCTTTAGGGTTTAGGGTTTACGGCTTAGGGTTTAGGGTCTTGTAGCATCTGAAGTTCCTTGCAGTATCTTAGGGTTGATTTCCATTGAAAAAGCATATGTAGTGGCACAGTGCACCTTTCTGCAAAGCCCCTGCATGTTCTGCACTAAAGTCGACGTCGCGGCCCTACTTTAAAGTCAGACAGTGGGTCAGGGCTTACGATTTAGGAGATGGTGCCATGCAAACCACGCAGCCTTTGCGAACTTTAAGGGTGTCTATGAGATGGCTACTCTGCACATTGTTTTTCCACTAGGGTCATATAGGGGCCTTATTAGTAGAATAGGGTTTTGGGTACAGTAAACCATACTATAAGTGTAACGAGGAACCCCCAAAACCCTTCTAATTTGCTAAGGCCCCTATACTACTCAGCCATAGATCCCAAAGCCTGGTAACCGAAGAACCCCACTCATCCCCGTTCTACATTTGGGTAGTTCTCTAAAATAGGGTCCCTTTTAGGGTCCTCTTTACAAGGGTGCCGTAGACCTAAAAGGGGGCAAAATGTAGCGAACGACCCATTTGCCACTCGAACCCACAGTATATAACTCCCCGACCTTCACTTGAGAGGGACAAGTTCATAGTTCAGTCCAAATTCCAATTTGGGGTGCGAGGGGTTTTCTGGTTCTGGCCTGAGTAACCCTAAACCCTAAACCCTAACATAGCGTTTCTCGGCTCGGCTGGCTTTTGTGTCTTGGCATCGTTAGTTTCGAGTCTCTGGGCCGCGACTGCTCTCTTGACACCTCTGGCCGCCGTTGAAGCTGGGATCAAGACGCAATCCGAGTCATCTGAATCCTTTTCGCTCGAGACGGCACTGACACCTGCAGGCAAGAGGTTCTCACTGGCCTCCGTCACCTTCTCGTAGATCAGCACGTAGATCGTCTCCGAGGGCGCAACCGTGACAAAGTCAGTGGTCGTCTTACCGATGCGACTGTCGTCGTACTTGCGAACCCCATCAGCTGCGGCACGGTACGCCACGTAGTGCCCTGACATGGCTGTGTGGCCGATGTGGGCAACTGCTGATTTCAACTTGTACAGCAGCCCCGCAACTGTGATGGTATTGTTGCAGTAGACATCGTGGTCCACAAGCCCACGCCTGGGGTCCCAGCGCTTGAGCACGAGCATAAGTACTGCAGGCCATCGATTCATCCGAGTTTGGTGAATCGGCGCATCCGTGGCTCTCCCATTCTCCATGCATGCAGCGTTCGCACATGTCCAATCCAAGGGTCATACCCTACCCCTTATTTAAGGTACCTAGTTTTATGGTTCGGAACTGATGTATCAGAAAAAGTAGGTACCTTAAAAACGGGTAGGGTATGACCCCATAGGTATTCGAACGAGGAACCCCTGTTTCAAAAAAGGAACAACTCCGACTGGGTAGCTTCGGTTGCTTACGACAACCACTGATTATGCTCTGCTGGCATCCCGAGTTGCTTAGAAGATCATTAGGGCGTTCATCGAGATAATCTAGAAGCCTCAGCAATTAAACTAGGGTTTTGGGGTATATTACATGATACTACAAATATAAAGGAAGGCCAAAATTGTATTGGTAATTATTAAGGCTCCTGTATTATGCACTCAGCAATGCTCCATCAGTGCCCATGTTCAGGCACCAAGACCCGGATTCCTGCGTGCCCGCCTGGGTTGCGCCGATTCACCCGCAGCGCCTGGCACTGTTGGTCAAAAGTCTGGAATACGGTTGGGGGGTACACTGTACTGTTATAGGGGGGTACCACCCCATGCCACTATAGAAGCTAGATAGCCAGCAAGGATGCCCTTAAACAGTAATTTTACCACCCTCCAAGGCCGTTTCTAATGCTTCAGACTGTCGGCATCCATGGTGAGAACACACGACAGCCTCGGCTTCACCAGCCCCCAGCTCGAACAAAACCCTCAAACACCTGTCTGGTGCTTAGTAGGGAATGGGGGAATGGATCCCTGTGATAGTCCCTTAAGGTTAGTCCCTATAAACCATTCCCCCATTCCCTACTAAGCACCAGACAAACAACCTCACAGGCGTGCGATGTCTTTGGGTAAACCTAATAACTAGAAGAGGGTTTGAGGGTATATTATACTATAACTTATAAGAAGGAACCCCCAAACTGGTATTGGCAATTATTTAGGCCCCCACATTGTCAGGATTCAACAAAAGAACCCCAACAAAGCCCTAGGGTTTTCTTAACAAGGCTCCTATACTTATTACCCTGAAAACCCTATGATAGAACCCGAAAGCCTTGAAGGGAACCCTATTAAAGAACCCGAAAGCCTTAAAGGGAACCCTGTGATAGAACCCGAACCCTAAGAGTCCAAAGGACCTCATAATCATGTACTTGGGCTACGGATAGTAGTTTTGTAGGTTTGTATTCAGAAGAGTATATGATTATTAGGTACTTGGACCCTTAGGGGAAGGCCTTAACGGGAACCCTATGATCGAACCCGAAGGCCTTAACGGGAACCCAATTAGAGAGCCCGAAACCCTGATGGGCCCTGTAAATTATGAACCCAGGACTTGAAAAAACCCTGAAACTCGAAACTCTAAAAGGATCCTTAAAGGGTGCTCGAAGGCGTCTATGATAGGGCTCTCTCTTCAGGGTCTTAATGATTAGAATAGGGTTTTGGGGCCCATGATACTATATTCATAATAAGGAACCTCCCAACAACTATATCAGTAATTGTTTAGGCCCCCGTATCACACCCTCCAAATGCCAGTCGCGCCCTCTGGAGCTTCTCTGTGGACAGCACGCACCTGGGCCCACATAGTCTATACTCTGGCCTTGAAGTACTTGGAGGATCATGGGACATAGTAATTATAGGGTTATAAATAGGGTAACTATACTTATAACCCCAATTAGGGTACTTATAACCCTACTTACTAAGTCCCATGATCCTCCAAGTAATCCCGATATAGGTACATACTTTGGGGCCAAAGTGTATACTACTTAGGTACATGGACCCATAGGGCTGCAAAGGACAGAGACAGCGCTCCTATTGGGTTCCGGATGGTCTGCAGTTTTCTCTCTGTGTTCTTTGTGTGTGTGTGTGCTTCAGCTGTGTGTGTCTATGTCTGTGTCTCGGTGTGCCTGCGCATGCGTTCCGCTTGTGCGTGTTGTTGTTTTGGGCTTGGGTTTTGAGGCTGTCGGGTTTAAGGTTTTTGGGGTGTCTGGGAGTGTTTAGTATGTTGAGTTGCGTGCTTTATCCTGAGAATCTCTGCAGGTTCTTATGTAGCATCGGGCTCATTTCGTTACGAGGCCTTCATGTCGTATGCCTGTGATAGTGTGATGTTGTCGTGTCTATCCGGAGCTGTGCAGTGGATCATCCAGAAGGCAGTTTCATTCTGCGTGATGGAACCCTTGATAAGGAACAGAAAGTTCATTTCCAATGGTCTCTCCTGTAAGGGGCACTTAGGACGATCGAATCACACGGGAGTTCCTAAAAATGAGGAGTCAAAAATGTTTAGAGTCAGAGACCCAGGGTTAGTACCAGATAATGCAAGAATATATATATATATATGTATATATAACTTTAGCCCAATCAACCTTATCGTGTGGAACCCCTGGCCCAAGCCCCTTTGCAAATCGAAGGGCTAAGGTACGCAGGGGCCGTAAACGTTAGACAGGTTTTGGGGGAGTGCACTATACCATAAAACTTAGAGATGTGTGTACAGTAGTTATTCGACCGCTACATTATTAGGGCCCCTACACCCTAAACCCGAAACCCTGAACCCTAAACCCTAAACCCTAAACCCTGAACCCTAAACCCTAAACCCTGAACCCTTAAACCCTTCGGTGGGCAGTCTCTACCAGGGCACTCCAGCAAATGCTGTCGCCGAAGCCTGGGTTCCACCATAGGCTCTGAAGTGTCTAAGGGTTCAGGATTTTAGGGTTTAGGGTTTAGGGTTAAGGGTTTAGGGTTAAGGGTTTAGGATTTAGGGTTTAGGGTTTCGTTCAACGGCTCATGTAAAGGGTTTTTATAAGGGGTTAGGGTTTAGGGTTTGGTATAGGGGCCACGTCTGACTTTTGGGATTCTTTTGGGATTTTTGCATCCCAATAGCTTAGTTGGGCGGGGCATTGCTGCATCTGTAAGGGATGGTATTCGTACATATGATTCGACCCCTGTTTTGGTTTAGGGCGTTACCAAGCTGGTTTTGGTGGTTTTAAGAGTTCAGGGTTTAAGCTCCAAAGGTATTTTGCAGGTGCCTTAGACAGGATCTTCGTGGTTTTAAGGTCCCAGCTTTGTTATTGCTCTTCTTGGAGGGGTCAGGAAGGCTTTGCAACAGGGTTCCGGATAGTTCTTCTGTAGTTCAAGGAAGGCGTTGGGGCTGTATGGCTCAGGTTTAGGGTTTAGGCTTGGGGTTTAGTGCTTAGGGCTTCGGAAAGATATGTCAACAAGAAGCTTACTCTTGCTTAAGATTGTCCTGGATAGGGCTAGCTGCAAGAGGTAGTATGTGTGGTGCAGGGAAGTTATGGAACCGAGGGGGCCTCAGTAGGGCTTGGGGTTGGGATCCGTTTTTACGGACAGGGTCGGGCTGCTGAGTTCGTTGGACCAACATTTCAATGATGTCACGGTTCTGTACACTTGACCAAGTTTACCACAATCTCCCGAGCTACTCAGGGGTTCACAGAAAGATGTTAGGTTGGGCTATGCCGTAGAGGCAAGTGCTCTGCATGAGAACAGCCTTTGCTGTAACAGAAGTAACCCCAAAGCCCTAAACCGCAACCCTAGACCCGAACTAACCCCCCGACCACTCCCCAAGCATGAAGCTACACTCGGGGGTCTAGCTACTATAGGGGCCTTAATAATTAGAATAGGGATTTGGGGCCATTATACTACAATTAATATAAATAAATAAAAAAATATAAATAAATAAATAAATATATATATATAACAAGGACCCCGAAGGAATACTATAATAGGTAATTATTTAGGTCCCTACATTAGGCGTTCAGGGTTTGAAGCTTTTTTTAATGCTTCAGAGTTGAGAACATCAACCAAATCCTAGCACCGTTGCTGCAGAGTCCGAGTGAGGGAATTCGGGATGTCTAGTCTATACCTTGGGGACCACATGACCCTTATAAGTAGAGGCCCTATATACCCTTACACTATGAATCCCTATATGGTGTATGAATCCTGAAAACCTTTTGGGGATCATTTCGTCCTTAAGGTGTACTAACCATAAACCCTAAACCCTAAACCCTAAACCCTAAACCCTACCCCCTTTTAGAATCCCGGAAAGGCAGACTTAGTTCCGCACTCTTGAATAAAGGGTGACGGAGCCCTGGCAACAAACCGGCAAACTGCTGCCTACACTCGAATCCTGTCCCTGACTGCTAGCTTAGGGCCTGAACCCAGAGAGCCCAATACCCCTTCATTAACGAATATTCCTTTAATTACAGCGGCCTGAATATTGTGATTTAAGGTCTATTTCTTAATTAAGGGGTATCGGGTTCTCTGGGTTCCCGCCTAAATGCAACATTTCTTAACAAGGAATACGGGGAGAGGGGGGGCATGGTGCTTGGGATTTTGGAGGGCTGTGGGCTCTGAGGGTCATGGCTACGGCTAGTTCGGGCTCCACGATCTAGCCCCATTCGTCCGGGTACCTAAACGAATCATACACGCACCCAGCTACTAACTTACAGACCTACTATCCCAAGCCCGAGTACCTAACTATTAACCTTTGGACCCGCACTTGGAGGCCCTGGGGACTTAGTAGGTAGGTTGTAAGTAGACTTATAAGTACCCTAAATGGAGTTACCCTAATTATAATCCTACGTATAACCGATTTACTAAGTCCCCTGGGCCTCCAAGTAAGGTAGATAGAGTGAGGAGTTATCGTTTAGGGGTTGGCGGGGGAGATCTTCGGCATCTCACAGAGCATCTGCTCACCGCGACCCCTACGAACAACAGACCCTACAGTACCCCCAAGGGTCGAAAGGACCCAATAATCAGGTACTTAGGTTTCGGATAGTAGTTATGTAGGTTACTATTTGCGAGAGTATATGACTAATTATTAGGTACTTGGACCCTTACACTACCGTGAACCCGACTTCATCTCTAGAATTGGAAACAAACCTAGGCTTGGGTTTACGAGGTTTCTAGAGAACCCAATAAACCTGAAGTAAGGAACATACCTTAAATCCTAATATCAAGGCCCCTATAACCTAAGGTATGTTCCTTGATTAAGGGGTATTAGGTTC